AGTGTACGTATATTCGTATGTACACACCCACACACTGGAGCACAGGGTTTGACTGTGAGAGTGAAGGTGAATGAAGCGTGTGTGTGTGTGTGTGTGTGTGTGTGTTTGTGTGTGTGTGTGTGTGTGTGTGTTTGTGTGTGTGTGTGTGTGTTTGTGTGTGTGTGTTGCCCTTTTCAGCCCATAGAACGTTCTCTCCTTTCTCTCTTAAACACCCCACGCAGCATTCACAGCTTACAGCTTTATTCTCCTCCTCTACTCTACACAGCTGAAGGTCACTTCAGACCACGGAGATCACTTTCTCTCTCTCTCACACACACACACACACACACACACACACACACACACACACACACACACACACACACACACACACACACACACCACACACAGCACTCTGCTCCCTGAACTCCTGTTCTTTTATTCCTCCTCTTTCTTTCTTCTTCTCTTCATCTCTCACCTTTATTCCTGTGTGCTGCATTACTGTGACCTCACCCCCCTCAACAGCCACTCCACCCCCCCCCAACCCACACCTCTGTCTTTTATCCCGTTTCCTCTCCCGCTGGGTTATTTTTTACACCTTTCCAGCTCCTCTGCCATGGAAGCTGATGAGAAACATGCAGTGCGTGTACACCAGGGATGCACCGGTACCTCTGATTCCTTTCCGATATCGATAAGCGTCAAATCCGATGTTTCTACATCTGTTTCTGTATCTTTGTGCTAATCCAGCCAACAGTAAGGTTTGGTGGAGGGGGGATAATGAACTGGGGCTGTTGCAGCGCAGATATACGGTTTAAACATTTCCTGAATCTGTAGAGTCGCCCTTTCTGTTCCATCTTATCACGAGATCATACGAGACTCACGTCCGGAGTAATGAGGCTATGAAGAGGGGCTGAGGTACACGTCATCTGCCTCTCACCGTGTGGAGCTGGTGGATTCGTGTGTCTGTCTACATTCTGTGTGAAACTGAGGTGAGAGTCCGAGTGGAGTCTCTGAAGTGTACGTCCGAGTCGACTCTTGAGTCTCTGAGATGCAAGTCCAAGTTTAGTGTTGATTCTCTAAGGTGTAAGTCTGGGTTGAGTCCGAGTTAAGTCTCAAGTCTCTGAGGTTCAATTCCGAGTAGAGTCTCTGAGATTTGAGTCAGAGTTGAGACTCGAGTCTCAGAGGTGAGAGTCTGAGTCGAGTCTCTGAGGTGAGTGTCTGAGTTCAGTATCTGAGTGAGGATCTGAGTTGAGTCTCGAGTCGTTGAAGTTCGAGTTGAGTCTGGAGTCTCTGACGTATGAGTCTGAGTCGAGACTTAAGTCTCTGAGGTGACTCTCTGTGTTGAGTCTCAGAGGTGAGAGTTTGACTTTGGAGTCTCTGAGGTGAGAGTCAGAGTCGAGTCTCAAATCTCTGAGGTGAGAGTCCAAGTCAAGTCTCGAGTCTCTGAGGTTCGAGTTGAGTCTCTGAGGTTCGAGTCTGAGTCGAGTCTTGAGTCTCTGAGGTGAGAGTCCAAGTCGAGTCTCAAATCTCTGAGGTGAGAGTCTGAGTCGAGTCTCAAGTCTCTGAGGTGTGAGTCTGAGTCGAGTCTCGAATCTCTGAGGTGAGAGTCCAAGTCGAGTCTCAAGTGTCTGAGGTGAGAGTTGAGTCAATTCTCAAATCTCTGAGGTGAGAGTCTGAGTCGAGTCTCAAGTCTCTGAGGTGTGAGTCTGAGTCGAGTCTCGAATCTTTGAGGTGAGAGTCCAAGTCAAGTCTCGAGTCTCTGAGGTGAGAGTTGAGTCTCTGAGGTTCGAGTCTGAGTCTCGAGTCTCTGAGGTGTGAGTCTGAGTCGGGTCTCGAGTCTCTGAGGTGAGAGTCTGAGTCAAGTCTCAAGTCTCTGAGGTGAGAGTCTGAGTCAAGTCTCGAATCTCTGAGCTGAGAATCCAAGTCGAGTCTCTGAGGTTCGAGTCTGGAGTTATGAGCCTGTGAAGAGGGGCTGAGATTCACGTCATCTGCCTCTCACCGTGTGGAACTGGCGGATTCGTGTATTCATCTACATTCAGTGTGAAACTGACCAACGGACACTCAGGAGATCACTAAGGACTGACCATCAGTCCACATCGGAGACTCATGTGAAACGGCGTGCAGAGAGTTTACAGCTGCTGAAGTTGCTGCAGCGGTTTTGGAAAGTAGTGACGAAGATAACGGAGCATTTTGATATGAAACATATGAGGATCACGTTATATGAAGAGCCTTTAAAGGATAATTTAAGAAGAGATGAATAAATCGAGAGAACGACCTCAGACCCCACCCACTGCCCCCCCAAACCATTTGCGGAGGTCATTTTCTACATGGTCATGGACACACATCAGCTGGAGAGCGAGAGAGAGTGAGTGTACGAGAGTGTGACAGGTTTTAAAGTGCCTCGGTCTGAAAGAACAACGGCACGGAACGTAAATAAAGATCTCCATGTCGTAAGTCAGTACAGTAGACCTTCTCAGACAGAAGCTTAACATAAATCTCACATACACCCACCAAAGTCCCCGGCCTGTCAGCCAGAGACTCTCGCTCCCCTCCCGAGAGAAAAACGCTCCACTGCCAAACGTAAACGTGAACTATACTCTCACAATCGCAGTATTGCAGGGTTCTCCTCACAATCTGGCTCAGATCAAACAAGCAGAGAGTTCAGCACTAACAGCTGTTACAGCAGCACTCAGTGTTCAGGAACGGCAAAATAACAAATATCTGATCGAATGGCAGCATCGTTAACTGGTTCTGTTCTTTCATACACGGTTTTGTAAGCACTGCACTCATAGATTTTCTAAAGCAACACAGCATGCTAAAAATCCACCAATGGGAAAACAGCATGGCTGAAAATCCACCAACAATAGAACAGCATAGCTTAAAATCTAGCAATAGGAAAATGCTATATAATATGCTAAATATCCACCAACAGGAAAACATAATAGCTTAAACAGTACCAACAGGAGAACACTATAGTTAAAATCCACCATTACGAGAACGGCATGGCTTAAAATCCACCCAAAGAACAACAGTATGTCTTCAAATCTACCAATAGGAAAATGGTATAGCTAAAATTCCACCAATAGGAAAACAGCATGGCAAAAAAAAGCCAAGAGAGGAGCAGCATAGCTAAAAATCCACCAGCAGGTGAACAGCATGGCTAAAATTTCACCAATAGGAAAACAGCATGGCAAAAAAAGCCAAGAGAGGAGCAGCATAGCTAAAAATCCACCAGTAGGTGAACAGCATGGCTAAAAATCCACCAATAGGAGAACAGTATGACTAAAAATCCATGAATATGAGAACGGCACTGCTAAAAATCCACCAGTAGGAGAACAGTATGACTAAAAATCCACAAACAACAGAAAGGTATAGCTAAAAATCGACCAATGGGAGAACAGTATGACTAAAAATCCACCAATATGAGAACAGCACTGCTAAAAATCCACCAATAGGAGAACAGCATGACTAAAAATCCACAAACAACAGAAAGGTATAGCTAAAAATCCACCAATGGGAGAACAGCTAAGCAAAAAATCTACCAATAGGTCAATGGTATAGCTAAAAATCTACAACACAAGAACAGCATAATTAGAAATCCACCAACAATAGAATGGTATAGCTAAAAATTCACCAATAGGAGAACAGCAAAGCAAAAAATCCACCAATAGGAGAACAGTATGACTAAAAATCCACGAACAGTAGACTGGTATAGCTAAAAATCCACCAATAGTAGAATGGTATAGCTAAAAATCCACCAATAGGAGAACAGTATGACCAAAAATCCACCAATAGGAGAACAGTATGACTAAAAATCCACGAACAGTAGACTGGTATAACTAAAAATCCACCAATAGGAGAACAGTATGACTAAAAATCCACGAACAGTAGACTGGTATAACTAAAAATCCACCAATAGGAGAACAGTATGACTAAAAATCCACGAACAGTAGACTGGTATAACTAAAAATCCACCAATAGGAGAACAGTATGACTAAAAATCCACCAATAGTAGAATGGTATAGCTAAAAATCCACCAATAGTAGAACAGTATAGCTAAAAAATACACCAATAGTAGCATGGTGTGCTTAAAAACCCACCATTGTGAGAACAGCAAAGCCAAAAATACACTAATAGTAGAATGGCATGCTTAAAAATCCACCAATGTGGAACAACAAAGCCAAAAATACACCAATAGTAGACAGCATAGTTAAAAATCTACCAGTAGTAGATTGGGATAGCTAAACATCCACCAGTGGGAGAACAGCAAAGCTAAAAATCCACCAAAAGTAGAAAAATCCACCAGTAGTCCAACAGTTTAGCTGTAGATGTGCTTAGATGATGAGATTTAAGATAAACTCCCTTTCTCATAGAGTGTCACGGCTTAAATTCATTATACTTTTGTTAGCCAGATAACCTAAGCCTAAATTAACACATCTCCACTAGGAGACGAGATAAGGAACGTTCCTATTTGACACTACTCACATTTGGCTTATGTTATCTTGCTCTCCTAGAAAACCTGCTTTGTCAAAGAGAAAAAAAAGCCCTTCCACCCCCCCCTTCCCGTTGTTGTTTATTGTTTACTTCTGTTTTTCCAACATACGGCCAATCCACACCTACCCAGCAGTTATCTAATAATATTACAAATCACGACAATGTCATGGTGGGTTGTCAGGCGCTGGTGACAAGTAGGTCACGTTTTCTATGCGGGAAGTGGAAAACTGACACAATAGCACATCCATTTGCAAATCCCTTAAGAGTAACCATCACTCTCACAGATCCAGAAGGAACAAAGCCAAACCGGCTGGCAAACCATCATGCACCGAACAGTAGCTTCACAATGTCAGCACAGACAAGATCAGGCTCAGTAATAACCAGCACACAAGCCTTAAACTGTGACCTGAAGAATACACACACATTACAGTGCGCTAATCTAATTAAGCTGGGTAGAAAGTTAATTAGTATGCTAATTACATAAATTAGAAGCTCATTAAAGATACAACAATCTTCCAAGCACATACCTGTCTCCTCGTCAATGGTGAACCTGCCAAGTCCGCTGCCGTCCCGGATGGAGTACTGCACCTCCCCGTCCCGTCCAGTGTCATCATCCCGGGCCGACACCTGCAGCACGGACGTCCCAATCCGAGCGCTCTCCTTCACTGATCCGTTTAAGGCGAAGTTGTAGAAATACGGCGCGTATAGGTTTTCGTTTACATCCACCACCTCTAGTTCCACGAAACTAACCGACAGCAACGAGACAGGGCGTCCCCTGTCTTTTGCCCGAACCGTCAGGTTGAAGAACTGTTGGGTCTCGTAATCCAGCTCCTTTATTAGCCGAATGGCTCCGCTAACCTTATCCACTTCAAAACGGCCATCGTAGTCGCTAGCAAGCGAGTAGCGGACCTCACCTCCAGGTCCGAGGTCAGGGTCCTGCGTGTCCAGCCAGGCGATAACAGTGCCCAGAGGCAGGTCCTCGAGTGCCCGAGCACTAACTACACTCGGTATGAATGCTGGTGCACAGTCGTTGACGTCCTCCAGTGAGATGCTAAGCGTGGTGACGGAAAACCGCTGAGCTGTCCGCTCTGCCTTGTCCCGGGCTTCCACCTTGAGGACAAATGAGGGCACATACTCACGGTCCAGCTGGCCGGCAACGTACACAATCCCATTGGAGCTGTTGATGCCAAACTGAGAAGTGCTGGTCAGCAGGGAATACTGGATCTCGCCATTCAAACCCTGGTCTTTGTCCGTGGCTTCCACTTGGATCACTTCCGTGCCAATAGGGGTGTTTTCCGGGATTCTTGCCTGATATCCACCATCCTGCAGGAACTGTGGGAAGTTGTCATTGGCGTCCTCCACATAGATGGTGAGGAGGCGCCAGGCAGATCTCTGCGGCTGGCCCAAGTCATACAGTGTAAGGTTCAGAAGGTATCTGTCAGTTCTTTCCCTATCCAAGGGGAGGAAAATGCTGATCACTCCACTAAATGTGCCAATTGTAAAGCTACTGTCCGTGTTTCCACTGGAGATGGCATGCAGCACTTGGCCATTAAACCCTGTGTCGCCATCGTACGCTTTGACCTGGAACACACTTGTGCCAACATCCAGGTCCTCACGGACTGTGATGTCAATAGGGAAGGCTTTGTCAAACTGAGGCGTCTGCCGGTTCACCGAGAACAAGTCAATGAAGCCTTCCTCGATTTTGGGTTTGCTGTTGGCTTTGGCCTTTCGGAGAAGCTTCTCAGCAAGGCGCTGGGCTACACGAGTCTCCTTGCAGCTGAAGCTTTTCGGTGGAGATTTGCCCTGCACAACAGATATGTTTACAAACATGGGGTCTGAGAAGGTCTCACCATCCGTGGCGGTGATTTTGAGACTGAAGGAATTTTTAGGGTTAGCCACAGCAAGAGATCGACGAAGAGTCATGACTCCAGAATCGGGGTTTAGATCAAAGAAGCCATGGTCATTACCTGAGAGGATCTTATACTTTACCAGCTCCAACTCATCAATGTCTATGGCAGACATGGTAGTGATGACCTCACCCACTGGCAGGTCACGGGACACCACTCCTACGCAGTCCACTTTTTCAAACAGCGGCTGGTTGTCATTCACATTCTCCAGGTGCACAGTTACGTTAACTTCACTCTCACGCCTGTAGGGAGCGCCCCAGTCTGAGGCTCGCACCACAAAGCTGAAGCTCTCTGAAGATGACTCAAAGTCCAGCTCTTGTGTCGTAGTGACGGCACCGCTGAACTGGTGGACGCCGAATGGAAGTGGGGTCAGACTTGCCATGCTGTATGTGATGTACCCATTCTCTCCATGATCAGCATCTGAAGCAGCGACTGTCACGATCGTGGTCCCTATGCCAACACTTTCATTGACAAAAACCTCATAAGACTGTTGTGCAAATACGGGTGCGTTATCATTAGCATCTTCTAGTGACACCCGGACACTGACCCTGAGCTCACTGTCGACTTCCATGACCTCCAACTCGAAGACCTGCTGCGTGATCTTTGTTAGCCAGCGTGACGTGCTAATGACGCCCGTCATGGTGTTGATACTGAAAAACGCGGAGTCTGCAGAAGGTGTCAGAATGTATTCCGCATCATCCGGCTCAGGCTGGAGCTTCACTGCAACCAAGACAGTGCCTGGAGGTGCGACCTCAGTCAGGCTGACCTCATACGCGTCCTTCTGGAACCGGACTTCTGCTGGCGTAGGCCTGGACAGCTTAAGGGGCACCACTTGCACAGTAGAAAACTTTTGTGGCGTGCCTCGATCCCTCGCCTGCAAACTCAGGTTCAGCCCAAATGGGTAACCCTCCCATTCCAGATTCTCAGGAGCTCGAATAATAAACTCACTACTATCTCCTTCTTCCATACTCCCTACATCAGGTCTTTCAATGCTGAAGAGATCAAGAGGATCCCCAGCTATGATGCTAAGAGCCTCGATCTCTCCGTTAATCCCCTCATCGGCATCGCTGACTGTCACCACTGCAACGGCTGGTGTCTTCTCAGCCCAGATTGGTGCTAGTGATGCCACGTGGATCTCCGGTGCATGCTCGTTAATCCGTTCCACATGGACAAAAAGTTTAGCGGTACTGCTGACGCCATTATTGCCATACAATTTCATCCCACGATCCACAGCCTGGATCTCTAGATCATAGCGGCTTTGAACATCAACGTCCAGTTTCCCGCTGAGGGAAACGATGCCGCTAGTGGGGTGAACAGCAAAGAGGTCCACACGGTCCTTGAAGAAGTAATAAAACTCACCATTGGAACCCGTGTCAGCATCCGTGGCGGTCACCTGGGCAATGCTGGTGCGAAGCGGAGTGTTTTCCGCAATAGTGACGGAATAAGTGGTTGGGGAGAAAAGTGGACGGAGGTCATTCATGTCCAGAACCTGGACACTAACTTTAGTCCAAGCCTCTAGAGTGTCACCTTTAATGGAGGCTTTTACAGTCAGCTGGTAGTTATCCTGGATCTCTCGGTTCAGAATGGCAGCGTTGCCTCCTTTGGTCCGTATTCGGAGGAAGCAGAAGTCCCCCAGTGTGTATTCCTCCGCCTTGAAGAATCCTTCGTCGTCGCCAGCTGTGATGCGGAAACGAACCTCCCAGGAGCGCTGCGCCAGGGGCACACCCATACGTACCTGCAAAGGCACAGGAGACAGTTGGAGTCACCAAGAATTAAATAAAACCCATGTTTTAATGGTAACAGCTATGTAGTATAATAGTTTTTTTAATTTTTAATAAAAAGTTCTTATCCATATTGGAGATATAATTCTGAACAGTTGAAGCCTCTCCTAAAGTATCGTAATCGCAACAAGTTGTTGTAAGGTCACATGTCTACACTCCTTGTTGTTGGGTTATTTTATTAGGTAGAGGACACATCCCCTTAAATACTGCCCCCGCCCCTTGTTCCTAACCCCGTGAATACCTGGCTGGCCGCGTACGTCCGAGCTGCAGAGTTCTCGTAAACGGCCGCATGGTACAGCGGCTGGGTGAACTGGAGTCGGAGCCTGTCGCCATGGCAATGGACCAGCGGAGGCGGAGACAGAAACGCCAGGAGGGCCAATGGGAGGAGAGCGGCCCGAACTCCTGGCCAGGGGGCCATGGTCACTGCCCTACCATCAGCAGAGCCATCCTGGGAGAAAGAGAGAGAGAGAGAGAGAGAGAGAGAGATGGAGGAGAAGTGGTTAGTGCCTACAAATTATTCATGAACAACTTAAAGGGGAATTTCTGCATAATTAAGTGTCTCCACCCCCTTGGCTTCTGCAATCAATTGTTTACTGATTGATACCATGAACTTTTGAAGGGGAATTCCACCAAAATTCCTGCATAATTAAACAGTTAAAAAATAATGTAAACAGAGTCATTCAGAGTGGTTTGGTGTGAAACGCTCTGTTCTAGAGAAAAGTCAGAACTGTTCACAGTGGTGGTGATAGGAACCAGACGTCCACCTCTAATAGCTCCCTCACAGAAAGTTACTACATGAAATTGGTTAGTGAATTCACTGCCTGATGACTGAGACACTGTTTAATGATAGTTTTGAGATGATTTTGGCCTTAAACTCCATTCATGGTGGAGGGATACATAACATGCAGGCGCTGTGAGGCAAATAGTCCCCAAAGAAAACTTATTATTTCAGATTTTCCACTATTTTCCATCATCAACATTCCATATAAACTCAGAAGACTCGTGTAGGTTCACTGGTGGTTCTGGATAGTAAATAAAATGTCTGTATTTGTGTTGTAGTCATGGCGACCCCTGGTTCCCATCACCACCACTGTAAAGACATCTGAACCATTTCACACCAAACCACTCTGACTCACTCTGTTTACATCTCACACACTGAATTATGGGGGAATTTTGGTGGAATTCTCCAAACACTCACGGGATCAATCGATAAATAATTGATCGTAGGAGCCAAGAGGGCGGAGCCTGACGGAAGATCAAGAAACCGCGGGCTCAATGACATCACAAACCAGGACTCAAAATGGACACGGACAGACAATTACACAACCACAGAAACCAGCACACACACACACACACACACACACACACACACACACACACACACACAGACACACACAAACACACACACACACACACAATTACATATTAGAGAAAAACCAGAGAGACTCCACAACTCAGAAAACAAAATAATTACACAGAACCGAGAGGCAAAAATACATCCAGCTTCAAAAAAAAACAATGTTTACTAAAAAACTGCAGGATCAGCAGCGTCTCTCTCTCTCTCTCTCTCTCACTCTATCACTTTCTCTCTCTCTCACACACTCTATCACTTTCTCTCTCTCTCTCTCTCTCTCTCTCTCTCACACTCTATCACTTTCTCTCTCTCTCACACTATCGCTTTCTCACTCTCTCTCTCTCTCACACACACACTCTATCACTCTCTCTCAAACACACACTCTCTCTATCTCTCTCTCTCTCTCTCACACACACACACACACACACACTCTATCACTCTCTCTCTCACACACACACAGACACACACTATCACTCTCTCCCACACACTCTATCACTTTCTCTCTCTCTCACACACACACACACACACACACACTAGCACTCTCTCTCTCTCTCTCTCTCTCTCACATACACACTCTGTCTCTCTCTTTCTCTCTCTCTCTCTCACATATACACACACACACACACTATCACTCTCTCTCTCTCTCTCTCTCTCTCTCTATCTCTCTCACACACATACACTATCACTCTCTCACACACACACACACTCTATCACTCTCTCTTTCTCTGTTTCTCTATCACTCTCTCTGTTTCTCTATCGCTCTCTCTTTCTCTCTCTCTCCCACGCTATCACTCTCTCTCTCTTCTCTATTTTCCTCTCTCTCTATATTTCTCTATCACTCTCTCTATCTTCTCCATTTCCCCTCTCTCTCTTCTCTATTATTTCTCTTCTCTCTCTCTTCTCTATTTTTTCTCCTCTCTCTCTATCGCTCCCCCTTGCTCCCTCTGTTTTTCTCCTCTTTCTCCTTCTCTATTCCTATTCTCTATTATTCTCTACTATTCATATTCTATTTCTCTTTATCTCCTCTCTCGCTGTTTCTATTCTCTTCCTCAATTTGTTTTTTTCTCTCTCTCTCTCTTTCACTCTTTCTCTTCTCTTTCCCTTTATTCTCCTCTCTCTGTCCATTTTCTCTCTGCTTTCTGTCTTTCTACCCTCTCTGTCTCTTTCATGTCCTTCTCTCTCTCTGTATCCCTCTCTATCTCATCCTCACTCCTATCTTACTCTATTACTCTATTCCAATTCTCTCTCTCTCTCTCTCTCTCTCCTCTCTCTCTCTCTCTCTCTGTTCTAGTCTCTGATTGTTTGTCTGTGAATGCTGAGGGACGGTGCGGCTCCTCTCCAGACCACAGTAACGTACCACCACACAGCCGAACGGCTACTGCACCGCAGCGGTCAGCCTGCGTATGACTCAGTGCCCCACACACACACACACACACACACACACACACACACACACACACACACAGCTCTGTCCACCGTGAATGATCACTTAAAACACACACACAAACTCAACATGCACAGAAAGTGAAGGTCAGCACGTTTGTGGTCTCATTTAGCCCATCGTCAGAGAGTCTGCTGCGCTCCGGCCCTTAAAGGGCTCGTATCACGGAAAAATCACTTCTGTGATTTTTTTTTTTTGGAGCTATTTCAGCAAAGCAGATAAACACTGTTAATCTTTCAAAAACCACACGTTCTCTATCCGTACAGTGTATATAAGGAACCTAAGCTGCAAAACCTTCCACAAAAACCAATGCATCAGCCCATTCACACTGATATAAAAGCACGAAAGAGCGCTAATCAGCGAAGACTGAGCTGAATGGAGCACTGAGCTGAGTGAAGGGATAAAAATCATTTTGCCTTCATCGACACTGTAATATATAATAAGCTAATACATGAATAAATAAATAAACAGTGTTTTCTTCTTTACGCTACTAAATTCAGGCATAACTAGCAGCTGTCACCTGCCAAGTTTGCTTTGATCCAACGTCACATTTGATCATCAGAAACTCTGCGAGACGGGGCTGCTGATCAGGACTTTTATTGTGTCTTTTTTAATGTTAGCATTTCCTCAGGCGAAATCAGAGTGCATGCAACAATTAAGGAAGCCTCGTGCATCTCGTACACAGTGACAGGAAACACGGTAGCTCACAGAGAGCTAAGGGGCTGGTTACACTAGCTGTACGTGAGTCCAAACGTGGCCCAGATAGCACATTTGAAACGTCCAGCATTTAGATGTGGCCCACATACCACATGGAATGATGGCACAGGAGTGGGCCAGATACGGGGCCACATCTCAGCCACCTTTAAACCAGCACTGCCCAAACTGACCCACCACAAAACCATTAGTACAAAAACAGGCCATTACAACAGTAAGTAGAGGTAGGATGTCCCGATTCTTGTTGAGATAGAGGGGTGGGGTGAAGTGTTGGGGCTACATGGCCCTCCAAACGGAGATTTTTCAGACTCCAAACAGAGAGATATGAGGAAAAAAAAGAAAAACCGGCGAGATGGAGAACAAGAGACCAAAGAAACCCACAAATGTGAGAATTTTCTCTGTTAAAAAATCACAATAACCACTGTATTATCTTAGTTTAATGTCGTTTCAGTGTATTATGGTCATTTTCTTCATAACAAGCATAAAAAAATCACTAATAGCATGCTAATGTCTCGGTAGCTAGCTGGCTAACTTTCCCGTTCCACCTTAAATAGTCCAGCAGTTCTGACGCCTGAAGTGCCAGAATGTAACTGCAGCTCCTTTTAGGTGGAACGGGAAAATTCGAACGAGAAGCTGGTGAATATCTGACTTCAGCTTCATATCACTGAAGAATTAGGGGTGGGTGATAATAAATAATTGCCCCCCTCTTTGAAGGCATATGATGCCCTAAATGTAACTAAAGCCCAGCAGTGAGGAGCTGAACTTTACCCTCCTCTGCTGTCACTGCAGACTGGCAGGGTCTCCTACAGAGCAGCTCTAGTAGCTGTTAATGAAGTGATGCTCTTTTTATTTGAGGGTCTCATTTCAGAGGGAAGATTTCAACCACTACCCTGTAACTCAGTTCCAAGGGGTTAGGGTGACACTCGAAAACAAGGGGTAGGGGTAAAAAGCAGAGATGGGATTGGGTCTTGGGCTACCAGCTGCAGGTGGCTATGTTTTGATGTGTTGATGGGATTTGAACTCATGATTTCCTGATGAAGGAGGAAATGCTCAGCCCATCGTACTACTCGGGTACTTCTGTTTACAAGCCTGCATGTCCAAAATGTTTACTACATTGGCTGTGTTTACATGCAAAGATTTTTGCCAATCCGGTTGAATACAATCCGATTACAGATTCAGACTGAGGTGTTTATATGCACACTATTCAACAATCTGATGAAAAGTCTCTGTTTACATGCTCACTACAAGTAATCCGATGCAAAAAAAACGCTTAGTGTAGACGTTACCATGACAGCGAACATCACGTGAGTCCTGTCAGAGTGAGATGAGCAGCAGTGAGCAGCGCTTGTGTTTTTAATCACTTTAAAATGATGTCAGACTCAGGAAAACGTCCTTCACATGTCCTTATTAAAGAAGGCCGAGAGGAAGACGTCGTGTTCTGAGACACATAAGCTGGACGTCCGTCCCACCGCCGTCTTTTGAAGATCAGAGCATAAACTTCGTCTCCTCTGCAGACCAGTTTCTGCTCCGCCATGTTGAACGTTATGAACTTTCACTATGACGTGACGAACATGATCAGACTGAACTTAAACTTTCCGATAGGGAATGTAATCAGATATAGATGTTTACACGGATATTATTCTTCTACTTAATGGATTATTTACAGGATTTTCCCACCTCATTCAATCGGATAGAGACTTTATTCCGAATGGCTTCAATCGGACTTGTCTATTCCGATTGAGGTGTTTACATGGACGTATTCTATTCCGATTGAGCTGTTAGTCGGATTATTAACGGATTATCAGGCTGCATGTAAACGTGGCTACTGTGGCAAAGATTTGTTTCATTTGAAATAAGAGACACACCTGACAGCAAAGTTTAAGATCAGTGAACCTGAAAGTTTTGTTGTTTAATGAACGCAACATTTTAAGCATCCACA